GGAACTACCTCTTACTTCTTCACTTCAATGTTTGGATATTCTAACTTCATGTTGAGTCTATCCATGTACATCACTTCTTCATTAGATATGACATCTCTACTCCTTATAATCTTACGGTTTTGGTCATCCCAGAAACGATAACCAAACTCGGCATCACCATAACCAATGAAAAAACATTTGTTAGATTTAACATTAAGCTTACTTCTAAGAGTAGAGTCAATGTGAACATATACTAAACAATCAAACAGTCTTAAGAAATAATAATTTACCTCTTTGCCGCTCCAAACTTCTTCTGGGATCTTGCAATTTAGCGGTACAGAGAGTTCGCTATTGAGCATGTAGGCTACAGTAGTAATTGCCTCAACCCAAAATGTCTATGGTAGTCCAGCATGAAATCTCATGCTTCTTGCACGCTCATTTAGGGTTTTGTTCATCCTGTCAGCGACACCATTCTGTTGAGGAGTTGCATGAATGATCTTCTTCATCTTGATCCCATTATTAGCACAATATTCTTTGAACCTTTGATCAATATACTCTCCCCCATTATCGGATCACAAGCACTTCACCCTTAGGTTTGTCTCATTTTCAACCATGGCTCTCCACTTTTTAAAAATATAAAAAAACATCAGATTTATATTTCAAAAAATAAACCCATACCTTTCTGCTCGCATCATCAATGAACGTCACATAGTTCTTTGGGCCTCCAAGGGATGACACAAGAGCGAGTCCCCACACATATGTATGAACCAACTCCAACTTCTTTGCCTTTGGTTCCCTTTCTACTTTGGGAAAACTTATGGGGTATTTGTCTAAGCTTATAAGGTGGTCAAACTAGCTTATAAGCTTTAAAATTAAGCTGATCTGTTTGTTTATAACTTTTTTTGAGCTTATAAGAAAAAAAAAATAAGTTGGGGGGAGGTACTTTTTTTTTTTGCTTATAAGCTAGTTTGACCAAGTATATTACCACATTATCCTTGTTTAATTTTAAAATTTCATAATATACCTTTGTTTAATGTAGTACCCTTTTTAGTCATTTTATAATAAACTATACTTATAAGCCACATTTTGCCAAACACATCAACTACTTATCAGTCACTTATAAGTACTTTAACCAAACACGTAATTGCTTAAAATTTCAAATGCTTATAAGCTAAAATTAGCTTATAAGCACATGTTGCTTATAAGCTAATTTTCATAAGTTTAGACAAACACCCCCTTACTCTTTTCTGTTTGCCAAAGATTCAACCTTCACACAAATTGTGATCAATCGACTTCAACTCTGGTACTTTTCCCTTTAATTGAACCTCCTTCATTCCTTTCACGCTCATATGCCCAAGTCTACAATGCCATAAACTCGAGGTAATACTAGCATCTACGACTGCAATTGAATTTCTGCAACTAGAAGTCATGTAAAGAGTTTCAGTTTTATTTCCACGAGCAACCACCATAGCTCCTTTAGTAACTTTCCATACACCGCCTAGAAAGGACACACTATGCCCTTCATCGTCAAGTTACTCAACTGATATTAGATTGCACATCAATTTTGGTACATGCCTTACTTTCTGGATTTTTCACACAGATTCGTTTATCATCTTCAACCTAACATCACCTATACCTACAATATCCAAAGGCTCTCCATCTACTAGGTATACCTTTCCATCATTTCCAGCCATATAATTTTCTAGAATTTCACGGTATGCAGTGGTATGAAATGAAACTCCTAAATCTAAAACCCAAGAGTCAATAGAATTATCAATAGATAAAAGTAAAGCATCTTGTACCTCCTCAGTTACAGCATTGGCAGCGTCATTATCGTTGTTTTCCTCTTTCTTTGGTGCTTTGCAATTCCTATGTATGTGGCATTTATTGTCACAATTCCAGCACTCAACTTTTTTTTCCAAACCTAGACTTGCTTCTTCTGTTCCCTGATTTTGATCTTCCCCTGCCTCGGTTTGAATTTCTATCGTAGCCTTTGCCTCTTGTTTCAACATTCAAAGCATTCGATGTTATCTCACCCAAATCTTTCCTGCGACCCTCCTCTGTGAGAATTTTGTCTCTAACATATGTGAACTTTAATTTCACATTACCTGTTGAATTACTAATTGCTGCTCTCATAGGCTCCCAACTATTTGGTAGGAAGGCCATAAGAAGTAGGACAAAAACTTCTTCCTCAAAATCAATTTTTGCAAACGACAGTTGATTGATAATTGTATTAAAATCATTCATATGCTCTATCACGGAAGAACCTTCTCGCATCTTAAAATTAAATAATTTTTTCATAAGATGTACCTTGTTATTCGCAGAAGGCCTGTCATACATATCAGACAAGATCTTTATCAACCCTGTTGTGGTTGTTTCCTTCACCACGTTACTTGCCACGTTCTTGGTCAATGTCAACCGAATGACTCCTAATACTTGTCTATCAAGGAGTGTCAAATCTTCATCTGACATCTTTTTAGTTTTTGCTCCTAAGAGAGGTAGATATAATTTTCTGCCATACAGATGATCTTTAATCTACATCTTCCAGAATGCATAATCTGTTCCATCAAACTTGTTGATCCCATGTGCAAATCCTCCTTCTTCTCCAACCATCACTTTCTTCCTCAAACCTTGCTCTGATACCAGTTGTTAGGGGGGATTTAATTGAATACTAGCAAATCATAAATCCCTGAAAGCGAAAAAAATAGTGCAAACAAAGGACACAAAATAACCACACACACAAACACAAGATTTATAGTAGTTTACTCTCCGTATGAGAGTTATGTCCACTTTGCCATTGCGGAATTTCACTATGAAGAAGAAGAAAAGAAATTATAAGAATCTCTCACAAGCCTCACAAATTGCCTCACTCACTAAACCCTATTCGGTGGCTTTCACTCTCTAATTGTGGTTTTGCCTTTTATTTAATTTTTGTTCTTTAACTCTAGCATTTAACCCCTTTATATAGGTAATACATGAGACATATCCTAATATGAATTATATTTTAATTCCTAATACAATTATAATCTTATTCCTAAAAGAAAAAACAATTCTACTTAAACATAAATTAGGAAAACTCATGTCCTAATTTAATTCTAATTTGGATTGAATTTGACTCCACAATCTTAACAATATTATAGGTGTTCTTTGTTGCCTAGCTACTTTTACCATTTTATTGCAGACTTCATGTCCACCACAAATAATTTGGCATCACCTACTAACTTTTTAAGTTTTAACCAAAAAAGAAACTGTCTTCACACCGAAGTTTTTTGCCTAAACGATGAATTGGTTGATTCCAACTTAAAATCAAACATTCTGTTAAGTAACTGTGTGTGGATGTGGAACCGTTATTAATGTATCAAGCAAACGGGTCTAATTTTAGGCGTCAGATACATGCTCCTATCCAATCAGTTAATTAATATTCACAGGATGACGATTTTAGAAGTCATCTTATAAGCATAAAAATTGTACTTATCATGAAAAGGAAAGATCAGATATGGTTATATTTTACAAAAGTCTTTTAACTCATAGTACAAAATTCAAATATTAGCTCAAGCAGATTTATATAGACAGACACAATGAGACAGTAGAAATGATCTGAGTTTGCAGTTTAGCAGACATTGCACCTAAAAAGGGGTTCTCCCAAGTGATAAACAAAACGTCAACAATGACGACATCTCGAAGACCCTCGAAATGCTCTCACCAACCTTAATTAATAAGATTAATGGGTTTATAATCTTTCTCTATTCTCCTCTCCCTCCATTTTAATAACAATATGAGATCAAGAGAGAGATTCGGTCCCCCAACCATTTGGGTGTTTATGTGGACTACAAAAGTAGTTTTTGATGGTAAAAGTGCCCAAACACACCCTAAACATAACTGTGGAAATTTTAGGTTTTTCAGCATCTCGAGCCACGAATGAGCTACTGGGTTGAAGCCGCAGGCTAAGCTAAAGAGAAGAGAAGAGATCAGTGGCTTGGCTTTTAATTAGAGATATAGAAAGGTGGAGAATACCACCTAATTGAACAACAAAAGTGACTAAGATGTCCAAATCCAGAGGCCAACCGTACTAATTTGTTTATTAACTTCAAGGTGGTCAGGTTTGGGATCCCAACCCAACCATTTAAACTAAAATAAACTTAACCTACAAATTTGTGTGGTCTTGTTCATACCACAATGCCCTCTTATCCTTTATTAATTACTTAATTAGGAAAGCCTAATCCAGTACTCCTAGTCCCTACTAGCCTACTTACTGTGATATGCTGTGGATTAGCAAGTGAGAGGAAGCAAAAAAAAATTGTGTTTTATTTTCCAATTCACCCCTTAACTCTTTTATTTTGTTTTTAATAGATGGTGTTCGGATCAGTTTGCGCACACTTCAACTAGTTCTTCAAGACCTTGAAATTGACGACTGGGTAAATCTCCTCAATAGTTATCCCTATTAATGTCTATAAGGACTCGAACTTAAAAACTCATGTTAGATCCCTTTATTTTTTTACCATCAGGTCACTCAGTGGTGGTTCACTCTTTAACTTATAAAATTGTGATTCTAATCAATTTGTGAGTACTTATAATACACTAATAATCCAAACCCAATATGGTAATTAATTAAAAGATTAAAAGTAAAACAAGTTGTAAATACACTTTTTTTTTTTTTAATTCAACTTGTATAGAATAAAATACTGAAATTCAATTGAAAAGACGTGTAACGGTTTATGAAGAATTTCACGTATTCTACCATATACATTTGACATAGTAAATGTCTCGGGCTAATCAAACAATTAAGAATAGTGACAACTATTGTCTTACAATATGATTGAAATTCTGAGTGGCATAGTTGAAATTTATCTAAACACCAAGTCTACTTACTCCAAGCTCTTCATAGAACAACTGAACTCCATAAGTCATACTGAAATTGAGTATAAATTGAGAGCATCTCCTCACTCCCAAATCACCAACTTCTTTAGTTGATAACATTACCGAGTTTGAGAGAGAGTTTTAGAGAGACAGCAAAAAGTGAGAGAACAAAAGAAGTGGATGATGGACACGTCCGTGAATCCCAAGACCGAAACCATGTTCCCTCTTTCATCTTTCTACCCTGATGCTGTATCTGATACATTTGTGGTTTCACAACAAGGTTAGTAGCCTAAAGAAGAATCACTTTTCATCATTTTTTGCATACTTTTACGTTGATTGTTATGTGTTTGTCCTTAAACTTTTGTTCATGTTTAGGTGGAGAAGTAAAACAACGACGAAGACGCCGTAAGAACAAAGGAGGTGAAAGTAGCCTTTCTAAGAAGAGGAAGCTCACTGCTGAGCAACTGCTTCTTCTGGAGGAAAGTTTTGTGAACGACCAGAAGCTGGAAACGGACCGCAAGGAAGAACTGGCTTCCCAGCTGAATCTTGACCCTCGACAAGTTGCTATTTGGTTTCAGAACCGTCGGGCCCGTTGGAAGACCAAGAAGATTGAAGAAAAACTTACACAAATACAGACTTCTCATGACAGCATCATGTTAGATAAATTACGCCTCGAGTATGAGGTATACTTCTCTCTTCAGTTTTCATGTTAAATTTCTATTTCTAATTTTATCAAGCTTTGGTAACCTTGAGTTTATGTTCTTGAAAAATAAATACAACCCATCAAACTTATTCCCATGTTGAGTTGGCNTCAAGGTGGTCAGGTTTGGGATCCCAACCCAACCATTTAAACTAAAAGAAACTTAACCTACAAATTTGTGTGGTCTTGTTCATACCACAATGCCCTCTTATCCTTTATTAATTACTTAATTAGGAAAGCCTAATCCAGTACTCCTAGTCCCTACTAACCTACTTACTGTGATATGCTGTGGATTAGCAAGTGAGAGGAAGCAAAAAAAAATTGTGTTTTATTTTCCAATTCACCCCTTAACTCTTTTATTTTGTTTTTAATAGATGGTGTTCGGATCAGTTTGCGCACACTTCAACTAGTTCTTCAAGACCTTGAAATTGACGACTGGGTAAATCTCCTCAATAGTTATCCCTATTAATGTCTATAAGGACTCGAACTTAAAAACTCATGTTAGATCCCTTTATTTTTTTACCATCAGGTCACTCAGTGGTGGTTCACTCTTTAACTTATAAAATTGTGATTCTAATCAATTTGTGAGTACTTATAATACACTAATAATCCAAACCCAATATGGTAATTAATTAAAAGATTAAAAGTAAAACAAGTTGTAAATACACTTTTTTTTTTTTTAATTCAACTTGTATAGAATAAAATACTGAAATTCAATTGAAAAGACGTGTAACGGTTTATGAAGAATTTCACGTATTCTACCATATACATTTGACATAGTAAATGTCTCGGGCTAATCAAACAATTAAGAATAGTGACAACTATTGTCTTACAATATGATTGAAATTCTGAGTGGCATAGTTGAAATTTATCTAAACACCAAGTCTACTTACTCCAAGCTCTTCATAGAACAACTGAACTCCATAAGTCATACTGAAATTGAGTATAAATTGAGAGCATCTCCTCACTCCCAAATCACCAACTTCTTTAGTTGATAACATTACCGAGTTTGAGAGAGAGTTTTAGAGAGACAGCAAAAAGTGAGAGAACAAAAGAAGTGGATGATGGACACGTCCGTGAATCCCAAGACCGAAACCATGTTCCCTCTTTCATCTTTCTACCCTGATGCTGTATCTGATACATTTGTGGTTTCACAACAAGGTTAGTAGCCTAAAGAAGAATCACTTTTCATCATTTTTTGCATACTTTTACGTTGATTGTTATGTGTTTGTCCTTAAACTTTTGTTCATGTTTAGGTGGAGAAGTAAAACAACGACGAAGACGCCGTAAGAACAAAGGAGGTGAAAGTAGCCTTTCTAAGAAGAGGAAGCTCACTGCTGAGCAACTGCTTCTTCTGGAGGAAAGTTTTGTGAACGACCAGAAGCTGGAAACGGACCGCAAGGAAGAACTGGCTTCCCAGCTGAATCTTGACCCTCGACAAGTTGCTATTTGGTTTCAGAACCGTCGGGCCCGTTGGAAGACCAAGAAGATTGAAGAAAAACTTACACAAATACAGACTTCTCATGACAGCATCATGTTAGATAAATTACGCCTCGAGTATGAGGTATACTTCTCTCTTCAGTTTTCATGTTAAATTTCTATTTCTAATTTTATCAAGCTTTGGTAACCTTGAGTTTATGTTCTTGAAAAATAAATACAACCCATCAAACTTATTCCCATGTTGAGTTGGCCGGCCTCTTCTTTCTCGCGATCCAAACAGGGAGAACTGCATTTCAGAGTAACTGCCACGTGTTGATTAGTTGGACCCGGATAACTCAAGATATTATATGAAACCATATATTACTTAACTCAAGATATTACGGACCCGGATATGTAATTCACGTTTTTCTTTGTGTATTAAAGTGGTCCGTCTTAAATTAACCGGGTATTTTTTTTTTCCCATTTAACACATGATTTCACATTCTTACTCAACATGAAACTAATATATTATTTCTGAAGAATATATGGTAGTTGGTGGTAGCTGCTTGCTTCGTTCCGTAATTGATGACTGGTGGAGTTATTTAAAAGAAAATGACACTGACTTAAAGCCTCTTAAGTCATAACCATTAAAAAAAAAGGACCAAATGCCTGCCTGCCATTTTTATTTGAAATGAGAATGAGCTCTGGGCTCGAAGAAAGCCATGCCATGCTGTTTCGTTATTCGTTAATCTATCTATTCAAAAAGAATTGACAAAGGGACAGAATACTGCCACCTCATTTGACAGTCCACAACGTCCGTACACATATATGAATATTTTTTTAAAGGGTTGTTGGATTTGGGCCTTTTAACATATGAAAGCCTAATGTAACTTGAATTGCAGGTGTTGATGCTGAGACAGGAACTCTCTGAAGCTCAGGCAAGGATCCAAGAGTTGACCGAGCATCCCAATGATGCAATATCAAGCAACAGTCCGCTAGCAAGTACAGTCTCAATGGAAACAGCGAACTCTCCATTATTTAGGGAATTTGGCGTTGAAACATACGACGATATTTTCTATGTGCCACCTGAAAGCGCATCAAGCGACTACAATGACGGCTTTGATTATGTCCTATTGTTTGATTAAGCCAAAGCAATGATGCATTAGTTATATGTTTATTAGAATGCTTTAAGTAGTCTAGTGTAGATAATTAATGACTATCCTATGTAATTATATCACTGCTGTGCGCCTTTCACTCTATGTACTTAACTACAAAAACTTGTCGTATGAATGGAAACTAGTAGTTGTTGTGGTGTAAATGTAATATCGATGTTTATTTTTAATTTATTTATTTAAAAGTATAAGAACATGATTTCTCATGTGAAAAGGAATATACATATTTAAAGATATTGACTGATAATGACTGAGCATATATAATAAAAATATATAACCCCACCATTGCTATAAACAAGTATGAAAAGAGGACATCCATTACAATTTTTAACCTAATAATATAGGATAAGAAACACTTATTTAAGGAAATTTTGCATATACCCCTTATCTTAAAAGTTATTTTGTAATATTCTCTTTCTTCTCCAAATAAATATCATCTTGTATCTTGGGCACCCTGCACAGAAACTTTGAGCAAATCTTTACATAAAATATTTATAATATAGACTCCTTTCGAAAAATCTCCCACCAGTCAATTAGAGTCAAACTTTTTTTCCAAAAGAGCCTACCTATCAACTTAAGATAACGTAGCACAAAGAAAGTGACATTGGGCTGCAGTATAAACTTGAAAATTGGTACCAGAATCTCAATTGATAATCAAAGACTTATGTGCTTAAAGTTTAGTTACATATTATTTGACGTCAGCATAGTATTGTTGGAATCATATTCTTTAATTATATCCTTGAATATGCTACACTTTTTTTTTTTTTTTTTTTCACGGGAGGTGTATAAGCCAGTTTGCGTGCACCTCAATTAATTTTATGGTGCCTAAAACTATCGATCGAGTAAAAACTTCAGTGGCTAGTGGCCACCCCTATTAGTGTCTTGAAGGAGTCGAACTCAGGAGCTCATAAAACCTCTTTTTGTTTTTTTATCATCAGATTATGCAGTGGTGATTAATATGCTACACATTATGATCTCATGAGTAGAACATCTCATTAATTATAAAAGGAATCGCCATTTCTTCAAACATCCATTCATTATTAAGAAATTTCTCACTTTAAATATGATTTTTTTTATATGTCCTTACTCTGAGTACAAAGTTCATATTTTAATAAATATATTTAAATTTTAATATCTTTAAATTAGAGTATTTTTATGTTGTTTTGGTGACAATTGCTATTGTTGGGAGTTGTCTACGATAGCGTCAACATGTGACGTACAAACGAGCGACGAATTGTTGTTGAGTGATGCGCAATGGTGAAAGTAAGTATGACCTTAATTCTTATTAGTAATTTTATATTACAAACAAATATAGGAATCATTATTTCATTCCTTCTCTCATCCCATCCCATTCTCATTCTCATTTTCATCTTACACAAAGAATTAGCAGAGTTGATAGAGTGCGGCAAAGAGTGATATAAATTACAGAAAAATTGGGATCGGCCCATATACATTTGTTTTTGTACTGTAAAAGCGTGAACAGCCCATTCGATTTAAGGAAATTTTGTATATACGCCTTATCTAAAAAGTTACTTTGTAATATTCTCTTTCTTCTCCAAATAAATATCATCTTGTATCTTGGGCACCCTGCACAAAAAACTTTGAGCAAATATTTACTAAAATGTTTATAATATTGATTCCTTTAGAAAAATCTCACCAGTCAATTAGAGTCAACTTTTTTTTTTTTTTTTTTTCCAAAAAAAAGTCTTCCCTATGAACTTAAGAACATAGCACAAAGAAAGTGACATTGGGAAACATAGAAACTGAAATTGGTACTAGATATTTACAGAATTCTTTTTTCTCAACCTAGATCTTTTTTTTTTTTTTTTTTTTTTTTAATGATTGGAGGTGTCCGAGTCAGCTTACGCGCACCTTAGCTAATCCCTTAGGATCTGAAACTATCAATCAAATAAGAGCTTTACTGGCTACCCATATTAGCAACCAATGAGGGACTTGAACTTAAGACCTCTTGAGTAATACACCTAAGAGTCTCTATCGAACCATTCAGTCACCCAAAGATAGTTAACTGAACCTGGATCTTAATTGATAATCACTTTATAAATATATGTTGTCAATACATATGTACTTAAAGTTTAGTTACATATTATTTGACATCAGCATAGTATTGATGGAATCTTATTCTTTAATTATATCCTTGTAGGGGTGTAATCGAGCCGAGCCGAACTGTGTTTTTCGCTAATTAAGCTTGGCTCAGTTACTGTAGCAACGAGCTCGAGTTTGAGCTCAAGCCCAATCGAGCTTGGAAAAGCTAAATCGAACTGAACTCGAAAAACTGTTGGAAGCTTGAATTCGAATTCAAGCTCAAGCCAGCTCGAATTCGCACCCTTGGTTGTACTTGTGCTTGTGCCTCTAAGTCTAGGGATGTAATTGAGCCGAGTAGAGCTGAATTTTTGGCTAATCGAGTTTGGTTCGATTACTA